CCACCCCCCTGTGTGCTGTTGTAAATATCCACCATGATGCTGAAGCCGCTCTGGTGGAGAACAAGGTGGCCAGCCCATCAGGCATGCAGGCCAATGCAGCAGGTGGCCCGCATCTGCCTCAGCTAGCCTCCCGCCACCCACTCAGCACCTCAGCCCCAGCTGCTGGGCAGCCACTGTCTGCACAGTGGCAGGATGATTGGTGAGCCAGGGGCCATGGGTTAATGCGCCGTGGGATAAATCCCGGGGGCCGTGTTTACGGCAGCGGTGGCGGGGCCCAGGCCAGGTTTTAAAAGGGGGAAAAATAAAAGGGGCAGCAAAGGTCAGGAATAAATAAGCGCAACGCTAAGAGCTGTCGGTGACCAGCCAGGATGCAGGGGGCTGTTTGTGGCTGGAGATGCTTTTCCTCCCTCCCCACTCTCCTCTAGCTGTCCCTGTGGAGGTCACTGCTTCCCAGGATGGGGATTGGGTGCCCAAGGGTAGGCCTTTGGAGACCTCTTCCCAAGCCTGCCCTTTGAGAGGACCAGGGCCCTCCATGGTTGGTGACACCATGCCCTATCCACAAGGCCGCACCCACAATACCCATCCCACACCCAGTACTCAGCACCTATTGCCTGCAGGACTGGACACGGACAGAGCTCGCTTGAGAGTCAGGCCTGATGTCTGCCCATCCGAGCTCCAGATATGTGAGAGTGCCAGCATGACAGAATAGTGGGAGGTCCCAGGTGCATGAGCACCTGCTCAGCGGGAGCACCTGCTCAGATTGGGCATCAGGGACATTTTGGGAAGGATGGTAAGGCCTGGACTGGTGAGGAAAGGTGGGTAGAAAACTCTCACCTTGCCGGGCGGTGGTGGCGCACGCCTTTAATCCCAGCACTCGGGAGGCAGAGGCAGGCGGATCTCTGTGAGTTCGACTCCAGCCTGGTCTACAGAGCTAGTTCCAGGACAGCCTCCAAAGCCACAGAGAAACCCTGTCTCAAAAAACCAAAAAGAAAAGAAAAGAAAACCCTCCCCTTGTCAGATCACAGCTAAAGCCCTTACAGTTGCTCACGAGGCCCCAGCCACTCAGATTCGCTTCTGTGCTTTAACCCTCTTCCCCCACCAGGCCACAGCCACAACTTCATCCCTGCACTGGGCAGGGCCACTCCTACCTCCAGGCTTTGTGCTGACAGTGGGCAGGACCAGCACACTCTTGCCTTGGGGGCTTTGCTTTTCCTGAGGGTAACAAGTGTCTGTTCTTTCCCTCTCACAAGCCTTTACTTGAATACCATTTTCTCAGTGGGACCCACCGGACTATTGGCTGAGGTCACAGCTGTCTACCCTGGCTCTCACTCTACTGTGGTGTTTTTTTCTGAGACCTTCATTCCTTCTACCATGTGGTGTGACTTCTTCTTCAACACCACCTTCACTGCCTGCTGTCCCCTCAGAAGGAAAGGAGTCACCAGGATGTGGGTCTGTCTGAGTAGCCTTCCCTGTGAAGGGAGGGACTCGCCCCGAGTGTAGCTGGCAGAAGTAGGCTGAGCAAAGGGATAATTTGCAGGCATGCTGGTGCCTGTCCTAAACCATGGAGTGCTCTGGCTCCCCTTTTGGCCTTAGGAGTGCAGGGAGGCAGACAGATGAGGAGATGGGTGGGCAGTGACCCTGGAGGAAACAGGTCTGGAGTACAGCCTTTCATCGAAATGCAACTGAGATTTATGGAGCCTCTGCAGCTGGGGCTGTCACTCTGCTAATAAGATTGGGCCAGGTGGAGGTGTAGGGCAGGGGCTGTGGAGGGATGAAGCAGGGACTGGTGGGGCCTGGCATCTGAAGTTGAAATGCAGCAAGCCAGATACCCAGACATATCCCCCCTGCTTCAAATATGACATATCTGTTACCCCATCACTAACCCTGACCCCAGGAAGACACTAGAACCTCCCATGGGGGCCTGAAGTTCCTCTTGCAAGGGCTCAGGGCTCTACCTGCCCCCATCTGTCCTTTGCTCATGATGGCCCTAGATAAGCCTCATCCCTTCAGCCACAGGCCAGCAGACACCCTGCCAAGCATCCAGCTGCTTCACTTTGTCCCTAGAGCTGGGCCCTTGGAACATACTTGTACCTTACTGTGTTCTACTCACTCTGCCACCTGTGAGGGTCAGGGCCCAGAACACTGAGCTCTGGGGATCCCTCATTGTGGACTCTGCTCAGTCAGCACAGGTGGAACAGGCTCGCCCTCTCTCTCGCTCGCTCTCTCGCTCTGTTTGTGTGTGTGTGTGTGTGTGTGTGTGAGTGTACGCCTGTCCCAGGCCTGAGGGCAGACAGTAACTCAATTTAGAAGTAGGCTTCTTAAGCAAGGGATGCTGGACTTGGGCCTTGAAGGTTGCAAAGGAGTTTAGCAGGCTCGCGAGGTGGGGGGACTGCAGGGAAGATGGCCTGATGACCTAGGGCAGTCCTAGTCTCCTGGAGAAGCTGGTGACCATCAGGCCCACTCTTCTCCCGTGCCTCTGCCTTACCTCCCTGGAAAGCCAGTTATTGGCTCAATAAAAAGCGTATCAAACACTCTCCTATTGTGTGGTAAGGAGGGAGGTGTGTCCTAAATCAGGATGGAGATCAACAAGGCCTGAGCGCCTCAACTGTTTATTAGCTCTGAGATGTTTACTTGGCGATGAGGAGCCGGCTTTCTCGGGGAGATTTGTGCGTTCTTTTTCAATTACCCCTCGTCTTTCTCTGCCACTTTTGCACTAAAGGGATAATAAATGTATCAGAGCGTTTCAATTATTCATCTAAATCATGACTGTGCCTGCCATGGCCAAGTCTTAGTGACAGATTAATTCAGGGCCGCCTCCTCTGCCGGCATGGCCGCCATCTCTGCCCCCAGCCAGCCAGCGCCCCAAAGGGCCAGCTCTAGGAACCAATGGTTGGGGTCAGGCAGGTCCCTGGCAGGAGGGTGGGAGGGAATGAGAAAGCCCTTGCCTGTCACCCTCCACCCGCTGTCTGGGCCTTCCAAGTTGTCAGCCCCATGTAAAGCTGCAGGAGCCAAGGACTTCTTGTACCCATCTATCCCCACCTGAGCTCAGGAGCCACCCCACAGCCGCCCCATCCATATAGGTGCATGGATATAAAGCCATACAGATCCCAGCCCCACACGCTGGGAGAAGCCAGGACGGTGGACCATCCCTCACAGCCATCTCCTGGCACGGGGCCTTTGCACCTGCTGCTGTTCTGCCCTCCTGCTCTGACTTCCTGCCTGAGCATGGCCTCTCCTGCTGCCCACACCCCAAACCCAGGATTAGAGTGCCCAGCCTTGTTTCAGCAGTTTCCAACCACGCTTGGTATTCTGTTGCCCTCGATGACTATTCAAGATCTATTTGTCCCCATGTACACCATCCGACCACCTAAGGGACAGGAACAAGGTGAGCAGCACATGCTGGGTGCAGACTTGTCAGTGGCCCGCCGTGCTTAGCCACAGCCTGGTACTTGTGAGTGTCGCCGGGTCTTCGGTCCCCTCACATAAGGTGCCGCCAAGGGCACCCTCTCAATGGATCCTCTCCCACACACTGGATCTCTGTCCTTTCTAGCCTCTCTTGCTCACCACCCTTTCTATGGCTCTTTCCTCTGCCCTCTCTTCATCTCACCTACACCCTCACTCTCCTTTGTCCCGGCAAAGATTAGCAAGGCCTCTGATCATTGGACCCCAGAGTGGCCTTCCCCTAGATTCTTTCCGAGCTGCTAGCTGCCATCGCTGCTGCTAATCTGTGATTGCTTCCATGGCCTCTGGGAAAGCTGGCACTGCTGCCCCAATGAATGGTGACCTGACTCAGTGGATAATGTGACCTTCATAGCCTTTGGGCTGCCTTGGGTGCTCCAGCAGCCAAGGTGTGCAAGGTCCTTTCCCTCTTTGGCCACCTGTGTGACTCAGAAGCAGCAACCAGTCTGAGGGCTTCCAAGAGCCAGGAATTGTGGTGGACACACCTGGCTGGGCCTGGGGCTGTCTGCAGGAGCAGGGCTGCAGCTTCAGCACTGAGACGTGGGAGTCACACGAGGGAACAGCGAAAGTGGCTAGGTGCAACCTAGAGTTTTCTGCTTGCTTGTGTTAGGGTGATCCCTAGATGCCTTAGCCACAGTTTCTGCCCCCACCCCCACCCCAGGGCTACAGTCCTGCACTCCTGCCTCCTGCCCTGGATTTATGCGCTGTGGCTCTCCCCCTTTGTCCCTTCCAGTAGATTCTATTGCCCAGGCTCAACTGCAGCGTCCCATGCTAGAGAGACATTTTGGATAGATGAATGGTCACGTCCCCACCCCTCCTCACTTCCTGTCCTGTTCCATCTTCTCATGTCAGCACCGCTTTTTCTTCCCTAGCACCGCTTTAACACACAGGACTGGTCCACGGTAGCCCTATTGCATGATTGTTATGGGGCACAGTCTATCGTTTTCCAGGGCCCAGAGAGTACTGACTTGGTCTGATGGAGTTGAAGTTGTCATATTGTGGACTGGCAGAAGCCACAATAGGTTTCATGAACAGAGTGTGGCAGGTCCTTCCTTAACCAAGCAGAGGCCCAGGGTCACCAGCTGCCCCTTCCTGATCATCATTGGGAAGACAGTGCCCTAGGAGGCCAAACATTATAGGTGTTCATAGGTTATCTGGAAGCGTCTCCTCCTGAGTACTGCAGGACACTGTCTGCAGCAAGGTCATTTTACAGATGGGAAAACTGAGCCTCCCTTCCCCATCTGGCAGCTGGCCTTCC